CCTGCGTCATCATCGTGCCCTCAAGGGCACAGTTGATAAAAAGGAGAGTGCATGGCATTCCACACCGGCTGCAATCTTCAAATGTAGTCAGGGACAATTCCCACCTCCCCACTCCATGCAACTTTCAGTCCGGCTTTAGGTGGGGAAGGTACAAGATCACAGAATCATCAGTACTGTATCTGCAATGTTCACCCTTCTATTTCACTCCTGGAAGAAAAAGAAAAAGCTTCCACCATCTGCAAGACTATCTCCTCTCCCCCCTTGCTTGAGACTGCTGACCCAGTTTCAAGTTGCACTTCTCATATGACTGCTGCGGTTTCTCTCCTCCAAACCCTGCCTCACATTAGAAAAGGTGGGCTACAAGGAAACTTATTTCTTACAGTCACCTGACAAATGGAGTCTTCACGTCTATGGTAGGTATATGCATTATGCCATGTGCCCTTAAGTTGCATCAATTTATGGCAACCGAACCACAGTTTTCACGGGATGGTGAGATTTTTAAGAAGTTATGTTAACATTACCACTCCCAGTGACTCCCAATGACTGAACTGGTATTCGAACCCAGGAGTCCTGAGTCTAACCCATTATCCATAGGCATTCTCAATGGGACTCATATGGCCACCTGGAAGGCCCTGGCACATTTGAAGGGGGCCACGGACTGGAAATAATTCTTCACACACTACCTTGTAAGGTTTGCTTTGTGACTTATACAATCCTGATTCAGCCTATTTTTCTTTCATATTCTATTTATGGCCATGGCCAAAAGAAGGTTGAGAATGGCTGCTTACACCACACAGTCTTTTGCACAGGTATATACAAAGATGGTTTTTCTCTCTTTTTAAACAACCCACCATTGAACTAGTGGAGAATCTCTAACGACTAATATGCTGCAGTAGGCAAGACTGTTGGACTTGGACTCAGGAGACCAGGGTTCAAATCCCCATGTGGTCAGGGGATGGTAACATTCAACCACCTTTAAACACTAAATACACCCCCAAAACCCTACTAGAGTCACCAAAAAGTGATGGTGTACAACCACCACCGCTGCCGTGGAAAAACAGACATTAGGTGGAGATCCCAAAGAAGTCCATGTTCCAAAGAAGGAAACCAAGGCAGGTCTTCTTTTCAAAGCCAGTGGGATGAAGTGGCTCGGCCCCAGAAGCGGAGCGGGTGCCAGTGGAGATTGAGGTATTTCTCAGATCCCCAAGAGGGCGAAATCTGATCCCTTTGCAAGGCAGGTTAGAACTGTGGGATGTGGAGGTCTCTCACCCCTGTTTTGAATGGAGGAGCCAGATTCTCAGTGGCAGGGCACACACTCTCTAAAGTACCAAGAGACCGAGTCCAACATCCTCCATTCCAAAGGTCCTTAAACTCTTGGCCTTGATGCTGTGCTTGAAGCTTTGGAGCTGTTTCTAGTCCAACGATGCTGGATTAGATAAACCAACAGGGCAGCTTTTATATGTTCACAAAGGTGAATCTCTCTCTCTCTCTCTCTCTCATTCACACACAAACATCATCATATATGCACATGAACAGGAGCAAGCCTACATCTATCAAAGTCAAATTCACATTACTAGGAAAGCATCTTGTTTATGCCTGGAACAACATAAAAGGCAAACAGTGACACAGGCCAAATGAAGGCAAATGGATTCACGCAGACAAGGCTTGCAGTATTGGGAATACACTGTTTATAAAGAACTGGGTTTCAACCAGACAGAGGAGGCTCTAAATCCCATCTTCAGCACCAAATAATTTTCTTCCCCCCCCCCCCGCCCCCATGCACAAACTGCAGCCTGCTGTGGGCAGGAAGGAAGGAAGCCATGGCGGTCCAGCATAAGGAAAGACGATCCAAAATCAAGAGCCTCTTTAGGCTGAAGGGAAAAAAGAAAAGAAAAAGAAAAGGAAGAAAACAAGGAACAAGGTTTGAGGTCTTCTGATCTCTACAGCAGGCGGGATAATAAACAAAGTGAGGTGGATGACAGAACAAAAAACAAATGTCAATGCCAGTGGTAGCGACACAAAACTGACGGCTGTGTTAAGAGATGAATGCAAACGTCACAGACGTTGGAAGTGCAATATATGGTTGTCAATAGACGAAATAGCAGATATTGCCACTTGACTACTGGATAATTCGGTCTTGAGTGGCTGAGTCAGAGGTTGGGAGTTCGCTGTGCTCCCTTGACTGGGCCTGGACTCAATGATCCATAGGGTCCCTTCCAACTCTGCGTTTTATATTATATTATATTATGGTAACATTTACCATATATATAAAAAAGGATGGATGATACTTTCCTTATTTCATGCAAACTAAAACAAAAGTATCCTATTACCCTTATTTTTGGACTGTACGTAAGGACCACATTGCTTTTTCTTTCTTCCTTTCCCCAGTAAAAGACAGCTGGTCTTCTGCCTCTTCCTCCCCCTTCAAAAATGCTTTTTTTTTTTTTTTACTGGAGCATTTTATCTGTGGACGCCAGCACTATGGCTGTAACTCTTTCCACAGAGGATCATCATCTCCATATTCAGCAGTAGAGGATCCATGGAACAGAAAATACTGGGTAGAGGGCAAAAAGAGAAAATTGCTTAACCCATCTCTGGGAGAGAGGGGGGAATGGAAACGTCAAAATTTTCTTGGTCATCCTCATCCCTACCCTTGAATGTAAGACAGCTAATTCAGAAGCAAATTCCACGCAGTATTATGTAACCGGATGATGTCACAGCCCACGGAGGCTATTTTAAAGTTGCCATGGGTATAAAGTTAAAATGTTTTGTTCTTTCTCTCCCACCCCACAAAGCAGCCAGCTTCTGTCCTTCTAAATCCAAGGAGAAAAACCTGAGAAAAAAAATGTACAGATTAGGTCCTGGGATGCAAGGGAGATGAAACGGGAGGAGGGTGATAAAATATGCGAGGGGCGCGTCATTAAAAGTCCATCTTCTGTGCCTTTAAATAAGCAAAGCAGCATCTGCTCTCTCCTCCAAAAAAAGAATGTCCCAGGCCAGGTCACGTGATCCTCAAATGACCACGGTTGTTATCTGGGGTGAAAAGCGGCCACACAAAGAAAGCTGGCCAAACAACAACAACAAAAGGGCCTGAACTTTGAAACCGAAGGATCTGGGTCACCAGCTTCCAGCCCCAGAGAAAGGCAAACCAGACTTTTCCACCCCACTTGCTCTACGGCGGTGGGGTGATTGGGCGTGTGAAAATGTGCTTCTCATCCAAGACACAAACAGTCACCAAGCCAGTATCTTTTTCTCCAGTCCTTCCAATAGGACCTAACAAAGCACCGCTGTAGGGGATGCAGAAAACTTAGGGCAGAATTTGGCCCCTTTTCAGGGCTTCCCCACCAGCTACCCTTCCTGGCAATCCCTGATGGCTATGCTGCCTACCCATCACATCCTAGGTTGGATGCCGAGTCTTTTCCCCATCTCTTAAAAGCTCAAAATGTCTCTCTTGAGTCTTAGTGGTTTAGCAATAAGGGAGTTGCGCTAAAATATGTACCAGCATTTTTGAGTCCCAGGTTGAAAGAGCACCACTCCTCCACTTGTGGGTTTCATTACCACTACAACTAATTAACAATTCTTCCCCTGTCTCGCAACATCACACAGTTCAAAAACCATCTAGTCTGGCCTCCTGCTGGTGCTGTAAGGGTAACTGTCACCCTGTATAGTGGCCATCAACCCATCTGCCAAAAACGAAGTAATAAAGGAGAGCCCACAATCTCCCAAGGCGTAGAATTATAGAATAACGGAGCTGGAAGGGGGCCTCTAAGGCCATCAAGTCCAACCCCCTGCTCAAGGCAGGAATCAAAATCAAAGCAGGTCTGACAGAGGGTCGTCCAATTTTCTCTTGAATTCCTCTGCCCACCGCCTCTCGAGGTAATTCCATTGTCATACTGCTCAGACAAGTTAAGATGTTTTTTTCCTGATATTCAGCCTAAATCTGGCTTCCGTGATTTGGGCCCATTATTATGTGTCCTGCACTCTGCAGCCTGCTCCATTTCTGAGCTTGACTATTCAACTTTATAGATATGACTTGTCAAACTGCAAGGCATGGGGCTGAGGACCGCAATCACACAGTTATGTGTGTAAGGAGTCTAATAAGTGACCAAAAGTGATTCACTTCATTTGGGAAGCTTCCAAAAGGCCTCTCAATTATTGGTATGCCAAATCAGCCTAGAATGACCTCGATGGACTCCCATCCACGTGAAAGGTATGTACATTGAGTCAGGCTCAAAAGCTGGCAGAAAATGGGCAACATGTGTGTTGCTTTCCCCCTTATCCATTTGTCCTATGTTGAATGCTTTGAATAAAAAATTTTTCAAAGCCCCACTAGAATCCTGGGTTCCCCAATGACTTGGAAAATCACTGTACTGAAAAACAAAAAGCCAATCCCCAATTCCCTCCACAGCCTCAATCCTCTTTTCCATGAAAGCTGCGACAGTTTGTTTGCCATATTTTTTACTGCTTTTTATTTTATATTTTAAAAGAGGAAGTCCTCCCCTGGTGCCATGACACAGCGGCGCCTGTGAGACAGTCTTTGCCTTGTGTGCAAGCACTTTGTGGGTCTGTTTTCACTTCTTCTAACCAACCTGTCTCCTGCCAGGACACCAAAGAATTAAAACAGAAAGTGTAACTTTCAAAATTACCAACACTTCCCTTCTCTAGAGAGGAGCCTTGACTCCGTGGTTGAGGCTCCTCCTTTTGCAAGTCCTGGGTTTAATGCCTGACATCTTCAATTTAAACTTTTTTTAAAAAAAAACAAGGGATAGGAAGGAAGGTCATCCTCTGCCATAGATCCAGAAGTTCCTGTACATCAGGAAAGACCAAGCAGCCTGGTAGAGAGCAGATTCTTATAGTCTTCTCCCTCAGTGGCATCTTTCACAAAACAGATCAACCAAATTTCCACAGGGTTCAACCGGAATGTACCCCATAACAGGAGGAGGAAACTTTAGAGCCCGGAAACACATTTGTGCCTGATGGGAGCTAAACTAGCAACATACACTTCTCTTGATGATGGTCCTCTCTTCCATGGTTTCACAGCTTTTGTAAGTATTCTGCAAAAAAAGAAGAAATTCAACTATGTTCTAAAGCCACTGTGATTCGGCCCCTCAGGAACTTTTCTAAAATTTAAAGGTTTCCTACTGTTGCCTGCAGAACACATTATCCCCCACACACAAACACCCCGCCTGAAGGCTTCAGCTTTCCAGAAGACCAACCAACCCCTGTAAAACGGTGCACAAGAAGGAACTCCACCAGAAGCCAAAAGACTAGGAAGCTAGACTGGCCATAGGACCCAACACTGCCCTCAAAACCTTCAGAACATTTTGTTATTATTATTATTTTTAGAAGTGGATAAAAAGCAACCCAGGGGAGGGGAAGGTTTCAAAACGGTGCCCTGAGGAATACCCTCCCTTTACTTGGAAGCTTATCCGGGATTTCTCCGTGACAATTCCCAGGGACAGCAGACAAGATTCCAAGAAAAGGCTGCTGGTCTACTGTAACTGATCATCCCCTGAAATGCATTGCTTGGTACTTTCAGGATTGGCATGAGGGTCCAAGGAGGCCGGCCGGCATGTTGTTTGTGTGTTTATTTTCCTAGAAATGCCCCCCTGGCAGGGGGAGGGGGGAACAGGACATAGCTATGATGAACACATCAGTCATCTAAAGTCAAGTACACCAACAGTTTAGTGTAGATAGGGCTCTATGGATTTGTGTGTTTGGATTACAAATTCCAGAATCCCAGAAGCAGACGCTGTAGTGTGAAAGCACATACCTGTACACCTCTAATCACAGAATAATATGCACTAAGTGATGTGTTGCTTAATCTCATCCTATCTCATTTGCATTAAGTCTTCTACTTTGAAGTATGTATTTGTGTGCATATGTTTACTTCCAAGTCATAACTTTCTGAAGATAAACATTACTTGATATTTAAAACAAATCCTGCAGGCTTTGGTCCTATATATTAAGGCAAACTCACAACAATGTGTGCATTCCTCCCCCCCCCCCCCCCCGCCATCAGAGACATCCTTTCCCCATCCCTGTTCAGATTTCAAGGCGGGGTTAGCAAAAGGACTGAGCTGTGTGTTTATCCTGCCCAGACCTGCATGTTAGAAAGAGGAATTCTTTTGTTTCAGCCAACTCACCGAATGCATGTGTGTGCTAAGGCAAACACAGATGACAACATTTAAAACGAAGGGGGCGAAATAAGCTCACACTTTAAAAGGGGGGAAATTCAGAGAGAAACAGCCCTTCTTCCCTAGAAAAACTAGGTGCCTCCTAAGAGCAGCGCATCCCCTCTGGAGCGCATTATCGCTGGGGTTTTTTAAAAAAACAACCCCACACACCAGATTCATGCCTCCAGCAAAACAATTTTCTTGCTATTTATTCCAAAGGCAAGAACAGACTTGATCTCCAAGATGTCTCCAGAGGCGACTCCGAGGAGGGAGAAGGCCTCTGAGTTTTCCAGTCCTGCTTTCCACAGCATGCCACTGTGCTTTGCTACTTGGGTTCTCATATCCCCAATTTCAGCCCACTCGACACAAACTTTTTTGACAAAGAAAAGTTGTCCCATGGTGGTGGGAGAAGCTCTGTGTGTCAATCAAATTTCTGCCAGGAATGCACCCTAAACAGAGTATCTGCAGAAATTCAAGCCATCCTCCTTTCAACCAAACAGACGTTCCATTCTGTGGGTTCAAATAAGACTCGCCTGACATATCTCTGCAAGCCTGGCTGTTCTTCTGCCCTTTCTTGCTGCCCAAGTCTGAACTCTCTGCTTTTCGACTCCAAAGTCAAGAGGCATTCCTTCATTTCTTCTGGCTGTTTTACAAAACGTCAACAATTAAACCCTGTAGGGAGGGGAAACAGAGCAAGGAAAAGGTAGAAGCTGGAAGCTGCTTCCATTCTAGTCTCTCTTGGAGGTAAAACAAAATCCATGAAATCCAACTTGAACCGCACTCTTTCAACTTAATTCTCTTTCATTATACAGTGGGGTCTTGACTTGAGAACTTAATCCGTAATGGAAGGCGGTTCTCAAGTCAAAAAGTTCTCAGGTCAAATCTGCATTTCCCATAGGAATGCATTGAGACCCATTTGATCCGTATCTGCTCTTTTCCGTCCATAGAAACTAATGGGAAGCTGCTATTCTGCCTTCGACCACTCGAGGGGGATATTTTGTTTCTTTTTTTCTTAGGTCAAGAAAGGTTCAGGGAAGGCAGGGAAAAGACAGTCCAGGCAGTACAAGTCCCAGGCAGTCCGAAGACTCTCCCAATCCACTCTCTAAACCCTGGGAGGAGTGAGGAAGCAGACAGGCGCCCTTTTCACTGGCCAGCAGTTAACTGAAAGTTCACATTTTGCACTTTCCCTGCCTCCCACGTGGGTTTTTTTTCAGTTCTTAACTCAAATCTAAGTACTTAAGTCAATATTTTCCTATGAGAGTGGTTCTTAAGTCAAAATGTTCTTAACTCAAGCCATTCTTAAGTCAAGACCCCACTGTACAGTCACCTGGGGTAAACACCAAAGCTTCCCACCATCCAGGCTTTGCTTCACCTCCAATTCCTCAGTGTGGAGAATAGTGGTTCCCTGCTTTGGGTCCCCTGATGTTCTTGGACCACAACTCCCAGAAGCCTTTACCACGAGCTCTGCTGGTCTGGATTTCTGGAAATTGCAGTCTAAGAACATCTGGGGACCCAAGTATGGGAACCACTGGTGAGTTTGGGAACCACTGGCTGAGTCTTGCTAGCAATTTGCAATATGCCACTCTGGTTTTAGATTGTCAGGTTCTTGACTTTGCTGTAGAACAGACACCAATAGCTTCAACTGAGCAGCAATAGCTTCACCAAAGACAATTCTGAAAAACACTAAGAGTTCCAGGATAAAAACATTGGGCAGGAACACTGTTGTTATTTATATATGGTGATGTCTCCATACATGACACAAAGAATGACAGGATGGGTCTCTTTCCGCCATCAGACTAGAGAGGAGGGGGAGTTAAAGGAACAGTGGAAGAATCAGAATTTTTAAAAGTTACCTTTGGGATCAACACTCCAAGAATCTCCAGACAGTGCCTATGGCAACTGATGGATTCTGGCATATGTAGTCTAAAAAACCAAAATTTCCAAGCTCGAACAGGAATATTGTTTCATTTACATTTGGTTATACGGCGGTGGACCTGGAATTGCTCCCTGATGAATGGATCAGGATGCGGCCTGAGTCACTGCACTCGGCTGAGTCTTGCTAGTAATTTGCAATCCAACTGCCTTAAAGAAAACCCCAGCTTTCATTTACTGTATAAGGGAAGGTCAAGTTTTTAGGTTGTTGGGGAAAGTTAGTAATGTGTTGATAAAAATGGAAAAATGGAAACTTGCTGTGTTCTTCTCAACTTTAGATAAAGCAAAGACCTCTGATGGGTTTTGTTCATCCTCCACCCCTGAAAGGATTTCTTGGGTTTTCATGGTAACAATTCCAGAAAAGAGAGATACGATACTAAGCTCACACAATATCATTTGCCATTTTAGCAAATCTCCAGCCAATCAAATCAACACTAGCTGGCCTCTTTTAGTCCTTCAACAGGCTGCCAGTCTCAATTTGAACAGAACTGTCCTCAAACCTCTCCATGGAAACATAATATTCTTATGCAGTGTTCTTTCTTCGCCTTTATCTCTTTTTTTTTTTCAAGCTCCTGAGCCTCTCGTGTTCTCATTAGGTACTGTCTTCAGAAGCAAATGAACCCTGCTTTTCTTGAGGAGAGGGGGGGAATTTGCAAAATAATGGGGGGGAATGCTATCCCTTGAAATCGCTTTCCCAGCTGACGTTCCACACGGCTATTATAGAGTTCGGGGAAGGGCAACCCGGAGCACGGATTTCACCCATAACATTTGCAAAGCAACAAAAGAAGAGGTCCCTCTGCCACGTTCAAGAATGAGATGCGTGACCAAGGGCCTTGTTCTCTTCTCAGCCTACTCTCACTACCATCCACCTCGCCTCCTGTCCCCCAGTCCGCATGAATATTCAGCAGTTTAAAACAAGGTCAGAAATAAAGAATGGGCCGCACCCTCTCCTCTATTCCCAGGGATTTCATTAATCCTCAAAAACTCTCTGACCGGTCTCTCCGCTTCAATCAAGTGGAACAGAGGAGAAGCAAAGCCAGGATGTCACTTTTTGTATGCGCCGGACTGCTGAGAAGCAGGATTCCACCCCACCATGGACCACCAAATGCTCATGCCATATATGAATGGTTGCTCCCGGGGTTGACAATCTGTGCAGGGAAAATGGAAAATAAATCCAAAACCTGGCCATGTTCTACCAATTACCACTTCCTAGACGTTAAGCAGCAAGATTCTTAAACTGACACAGGTTGCTGTGAAGCCTAGACCTAAAAGCAAAAATTAATAAAAACAAAAGGCTCTGCATCCTGAAAAGGGCAAAGTGCAGCCCTCCAGATGCTGCTAGATGAGACTCTTTAGCTAGGCTTGTTAGTGGGCGAATCCACTGACAAGGAATGCTGGGGCTTGTAGTACACCACAATCTGTGTGCCTCCTGTGGGCAGCTCTCTTTCCAATTCCTTGCTTTCCTCTCTGAAGCATTCCAAAAGCTGGCTGAACACCTTCAGAACAATAAAAGCCAATATAATAAGAAAAGGATAGCATCTTGAGCTCTCCAAAAATTTGACACTTTGCTTCCATTATCTCCCTTTCTCCTTTACAAGGAAGGGTAATTATATACTCATTTTAGCAGCAAGGCCTTCTCCCTCTCCTTCTTCCCACACACAGACACACAAACCGCACCCAAAGATCTTCACACAACGCTGAGATTGCCCTCTGGGGTTCAGGTGCAAGACTCCACATTCAATTTTGCCCCAGTTACTGGCAACAGTCGAAACCCATTTAATGCCAAGTCTTTTCCCCCACCATTCACTCTTTCAAAAGAAAACAGAAATCAAGCAACTGTATCCAGCAGAAGAGCACAAACACAGCAAACTAAGAAGTCATTCTTCTTTTTCGTGGAAAGGAAATTTCGGACAAGCGATCTGGCTGGGCAGGTTTGTTAGACTAGG